CGCCAATCCTTTTCCCCACCGCCTGCGGGTTTTCCTGCAGTTGTTCCTGCAGTTTTGCCGTCGGCTTCATGGCTCTTGAGGTCCGACGCGTCGCCGCGGCAGATGCTCCTCCTTGCACCAGGATCACGTCACCGGTCGCGTCCATTTTGCGGCAAAAACGCTTCACGGCTCCCACGCTCCCCCTAACTCTTGTAAAGATTGTAAAGATTGTAAAGATTGTAAAGATTGTAAAGATTGTAAAGATTGTAAAGATTGTAAAGATTGTCCTGAACGGAAGTAGGTATCCCGCTTCCTGCTGGGGACACAATCGCCGCAGGCAGCAGTGTGACAGTTGTTGATCCCGTCGGATATGGCGATTCCTACAACTCCGACGGAGATTGCGTTTTCCGAGTTCCGAGGACCCCTCTTTCCAGTTATGGCTGGATTTGCAGTCGGAATGATGTCTAATGAGCCACGAGGCCACCTCCTCTGACATTCTTGCATAAGAGGGGCTCACCGACCCACTTAAATAAGAGAACTAGTCGGCTTCTCATAAATGCCGAATTTCCGCCATAAACGCCGACGGAGGTTAGCAGATTCAATCATTCCGATTTCTTCACTTACGAACAAACTGCGTCGGCTAATCAGATACCCAATGCCGACTTTGTTATCTCGAAATGATAAATAAAGTATTAATTCAACATTCTCTTATAGAAATATACTATACCTTGATAACCAAGCCTGATATCCCAATGACTACCATGACAAAATCACTCCAAGACATACAAAAGGTCCGTCAAACAAACCCTTATCGATGTCAATATTGCGGTAATCTAAGTACAAACAGGTCATTATCATTGGAGGGGGACCAGCTGCGCTGCTTGCCGCGCTTCGCCTTCGGCGCAACAATGGAGTGACTCCTACCGTGTATGAGATCCGTCAGAATCCAACTACCCTTGGCGGCGCTATAGGGATCCCAGCAAACGGGCTCCGGCTGCTCCACCAACTCGGTCTCTACGATGAAGCAGTAGACAAAGGTTCACTGACCTCGAGGCTGGTCCTGCATTCTCTCAATGGCTGCACCATGGGTGAGATAGACATGTCGTCCTGGAGCAAGGAACAGACGGGTTTTGGATATCTGAGAATCCGCAGAACAGACATCATGGAAATTCTTCTCAAGGCAGCTGAGCGCGAGAGCATTTCTGTCCAGTTCGGCAAAACCCTTACTCATATCGAGGAAAAGAACGACGAGGTAATCGCCACTTTCGCGGACGGAGAGACTGATATAGCAGACTTTCTACTTGGATGCGATGGCATTCACTCGGCTGTTCGCAAGCTATATGTCGACCCAGATCAGAAACCGGAATATACTGGCATATCTAACATGTTTTCAATGGTTCAACTGCACGAGGTTTATACACCTTCTGGTCCTATCAAGGATCTCAACGCGACTTTGACCTCCGACGGACTATTTGCTGTCACTCCAGCTACATCGACAGGCGACATCCTCTACTGGTTCTTCTCGCGAGAGATTCCTCTTCCACAATCCGACGATGACCGTGACGGATGGGAAGCCCGCGGTAAGGCCGAGACAGGGGCTTTTAAGTCAAATCTGCTTCGCCTCTTGGGGGATCAACCATCCGAATGGATGGACTTCCTGCAAGACCTCGTTGAGAAGACAAAGGTTGTCAAGTTCTATCCTGTCTATAAGCTGCCAGCCGGAAGACCATGGTTCAGGGGTCGTTGCCTGATCATCGGAGATGCCGCACATGCTATGCCGCCTCACGCTAGTCAAGGTGTGTCGATGGCCTTGGAGGACGTCTTCCTGTTCTCGAAGCTACTAGAGACCTGCAGCCTACCTCCCGAAGATGCTCTTGCTGCCTATGTGGCCAAACGGACAGCAAGGACCGAGACAATGCTGAAAAGAGCCGAGGCAAACGCCTCGGTGCGCAAACAAACATCGCCGTGGCGCGTGCGTGCAAATGAGCTAGCCATCTCAGGTGGGTTATGGCTTTACAAGCTAGTTGGCTTGGAGCGCATGGGGCTTGGTCAAAAGGATTGGACGTACGATATCGAGACAGAAGCGTTCTGAACTGGAGGATTTCTTTACAGTTTTAGTCAGGTGTAGGATTTCTCGAAGCAGAGGTACACTTTGGAGGTGTTCGAACTAGACCTGTATCTCGGGGGGGTTGATAGGGTTCTTCTCGTACGGACAATACATTAGCCGCGGTTCTAAATCATGATAACGCCAGTTTTGGTACCGATGTTGATTACTGCTTGAGCGCTTTACAAGGTTTGTGAATAGAAGCCTACGTGTTAACGTCGATTTGGCTTTGTAGACATGTTTGCTTTATAGGGTGATGTGTTGACTTTGCACATGTCCTTTTGCAACCGCACCTTTCAATATGCAGCGACCTGCGATCTGATCCTTTCCCTCACAGCACCGTACCAAACACGACGCTGATTTTAGTATCACCGCTTCGCTACAGAAATGATGTATTCTAAGACTCTACGAGAAATCTCGAAGTGGCCTGATAATGAAAAAAAAATAAAAAAAAAAATAGAATAAAAAATAAAATAAAAATAAAAATAAAAATAGCCGCAACAGCTCCCGCGATTCAGGAATATAGCCTATCATGGTGGGAAGCGCATTATCTAGAATTGACTAGAACCCGGCTGTTACGATCATTGGTCCTGGGTTGAAGTTTGTCATTAGGTTCAAGATTTATTGGGTACATATAACGTAATAGTCGGTGGTGAGCCAGATCGCAGAAGAGTCGGAAACAGCATCAAAAGGGAAATTTTAATGATTTGGAATTCGAACTAAAATCATAGAAGATCCAGAAAAAGGGGAAAGTCGATTTTGCAGCTATCGACCCATTGCCTTGCGACTGAAGAGGTTAACAAGGCACCAGAAGAAGAAGACGCGACGAGAAGAGCAAAAAGGCAGAAAAGCAAGCTTCCTTCCTTCGGAGGAAGACAAGGCTGCTGGGATCTCAGATAACACGTTGTTTGCCTTTGAACTTTTATCGACTGACTATTTACAATTGACGGAGACATCGAGCTTCAAAATGAAAGAGTCTCTTATCCTGGCGCGTATCAGTGAGGGGGGGCCCTGATAGTAGTTTGTAGGCTCAAATCCCTCATTCTTACGCATCTTGGAAACTGACAAAAAGTTCACCTGTGACATTAAAACCAAGGTGTTTTGTTTCAATATTATCTAGAATGAACAATATCTAAAATATTGTCGAGAGACCCCAATCCTGATCCATTTGTATGGAAAGGACGTTTATGTTCTCGTATGTGTATTCCAATAATGGTAGTGGACCCATCATGTTTGTTGTCCATGACCCTGGCTCGAATGGGTCTCCCCTAACCATAGAAATACCAGTGTCTTGAATGTCTTTCGCGGCATCAGTCGACTTGGTGTTACCATTTTTGAAATCTTCGCTAAGCATGTGAGTCCACTGCTCCAATTTCGACTGAACGATCCTTATCTTAATTGCGCCGAGCGCCCAGATGCTATGTTTCCATGATTCTGCGCCTTCTCCTCGAGCAGCCAAAATCACGTTCGCCTGCTCTAACTTTCTTCCCAGAGTATGCAATAACCCGGCCACATCTAGATCAAGGCCGGGCTGTGTGCTCAGCTGTGTTCTGAGCGTCTTGATGGCTTGCACGAATCCTTCGTCTTTCTCGATCGACGAGAAGAGGCTCAAGTTATCGCTACCGGGTGTAGTAGTCTCACTTGCAGCACTGTTGTAAAAGCCAGAAGGGTCGTCAGGCAACATGCCAGTGGCAAAGCGGATTGAGTCTGGTGTAACAAATTTGGCCCACCGGCCGAGGATCGTGATGGCATATGTTATATCCAGTAAGATTGGTAATGGCAGAGATATATATTCCGAGACATCGATTGAGAACCATTCATCAAACCAAGTCTTCAAGGCCTCGTTGCAGGAGTACAAACCATCAAGTGGCGAGCATGGGCTGGAGAAGGGTGCTGTGACTGTGAGCGAATTGGACAATGAAGTGATGAGGTCCATATCGGGTTTGGGTGGCTCGTTGAGACGAAGTAGCACGGTATTTAGCCGTGTCTTGAGAAGATCTGCTCGAACGTCAGACATAAAGATGCTGCCCAACTTTAGCTGGTGAGAAGGCTTACAGTTATCCTTGAGATGATGAGGTATGTTTGAGCGTAGTCCCTCGAGTTCTGCCTTGAAGGCATGCATATAGCCGTACAACGGAGCTTTGGCAGCATCTTCCGGTCCCTGTTCTGCTTCATACCTGAGCTGCATGATTCTTTCCGAAAGTTCCTGCAGTCGGACGAGATGAACGAGGTACAAGTCAGACTCATATTGCTCAGCCAGTTCTAATTCTCTCAAGCATTTTTTTATATAGTACGAGAACTTCATTGTTTCAAGTTTGTGGAACTCTGCGTTAATGCTGGATGTTTTGTTAGCCTGAATTGCCAAGAAGGATTGAAGAACCTACCATGAGCCAAGGAACCACACTGCGACAAGCAATCGCCTCTCTTCGTTCGTTCTCTCCTTCACTTGTCCTAAGTTAACGACCATCAACACGGTACGCTCTTGCCAGCTAGGGTTTCTTTTGAGTCCCAGCTCGGCCGTCAACGTCATGGCCAGTGAAAGAAGGTTGTGCATCTGCGAATGCACAACACAATGATGATGGTACCAGCCGAGCATGATCACGATCCCCGATAGTAAGTCCAGTGATCGTTCCGACCGCATGAGTACGTGCTCAGAAACATGACTCATGAGACGGAACATCTGGCCTTGTACAGACCTCATACTTCGAAAAGAAGCCACCATACGGATACATGCCATCAGAAATGGCCGGGTTGCTTGCATCTCCTTAGCTGTAACTTGGTCTGGAATGACAACGAAGGGATAGACCCTTGCAAGTGTGTTCCTGTATATCTTGAGTAGGTCCTCGTCCGTTTCGCTTATTCCTGCGACTTCGCCTGCGACAGGTCTGCATATACATCGACATGGAGCGTGGTAGTTGTAAGTTTCCGGGATCTGGGCAGGGCTGACATTGGTAGTGGCTTGCGGGGGGGTTGTGCGAGAAGCGATCTGTTCTAGCATAAGAGGGCCATTGGATTCCATCAGGGGCGCGTCCGAGAGGGATAGAACGAGATCAGAGTCTGCTCTCTCGCCATGACTTCCCGCATCGGCAGCATGAGAGGTCAGAGTGGTCGAGGCTTGGAGTGAATCAATCAAGGTATTGAGGCGTTCCTCTATCTGTCTCGTCCTCCTGAGACGCGATAGTTAGCTCCCAACGTGTTCGAGTCGAGGGTAGAAAACGAAACTCCCAGTGATTCTACGGATCGTATAAAGTAGGCCCAGGATTGGCAGATGAAAATGATCCAGTATGAATACGGAATGACGTACGAAGATATGTAAATTCTCTTTTTCCGTTTCTTTTGCACCTTTTCGGCACAGTCTTTATTCAAACGGTGGCACCTGTGGGGGAACAACTGTCTTAGACATGATACCACGCAAAAAAAAAAAAAAAAAAAGCCACGTGAAATACGCACCTATCACATTTACGTCCTGCTGCAGGATCGGTCCGCAGGCATTTGACTTTAGAATACGCACACTGCGAACAAGCATTTCCCCAGTTCGAAGGCGCACTCTTGAGGTTCTCGTCCATGCGTGCGGACGGATCTGGCATTTCTCTTAGGAAGTCACGCGAAGATCAATTCGAAAGATAGTCCTTTATTAGTCAGTGGATCCTGGCTTGTGGGGATCGGCTTGCGAATGGAATAAAAGTGCGGAATGATGTTTGATGAGTTAGGGAAAAGTTGAGGGAGGTTCAAGACTCGGAATCGGGGATTTAAGGTTGGAAGAATCCTTGGGTGCTAATGCTTGTTAGGTTTGAGAATCGGGATTCTTACTTAAAGCCCGATTCCGATACCGTTAGATCGCGCGATGCTAAATTAAAATAGTTAATTGCACTATAGTCAAAAAGGAAAGTGCTTTGTCTTTTTATAGACCACTAGCCACTTCAAGTAGGGTACCCGCAACTTAAAAAGTAACTGCAAAAAAACACACTAGGCATGAACAAGCTGGCGCTGCCTGTTGCACTATAAGATTTATTACGCAATCATTGCTCCTGGCAGCATCGCCTCGTCAGATGGAGGCGCGGGCCATCTTACGTCCCTCTTCACTGTTCACTGCCTCATTTTATACAACTAGCGGCAGTCCATATCTAGAAGAAAGGGGGCACTGGGATATGTATATACCTCATGGCAGGAGCCGTGTCCCGACTTCTTGAGCTCAGTCCTTCTCCATGCCATATTGATTACCTACTCCATGTCAAATCAGACCACAAAACCCCGGTCTTCAACATGAGAAAATGTCTCCAAATCACGACGTTGATTGTCACAACACTCGCCTCCGCGGCAGTCAGTCTAGTCATGATGCACTTTTCTTGTTATGCCACTGTGTGCCCTGAAGATTACTTCTCGTATGAGACACGTCTCCATGTCATTATTTATTATGGCTTTCTATCACTTACTCTTTGTCTCTTTGCCCTTCGTTCGTACAGTCCTGCTGTCCGGTCGTTTACTAATCTTCAGCCGCTAGCTGAGGTTCCTCTCGTGGGCAATCGGTTTACTCTCGGAGGGACTCTCATGTGCATATGGATACTGGTCATGACTATCGGTCCGACCGTATACTGGTTCCCAACCCAGTGGGATTTCTGGGGAGTTCGCATCGACCGTCTGAACTGGGTATCCGCCAAGATGCAGCTCACCATTACGGGTGTAACTGGACATTATGCGGATGTCCTTCTTGGCCTTCTGATCATACCTGTGTCGAGAAATAGCCTTGTTGGGCAGGCATTCTTTGTGCATCACGGCACATGACTTTTGGCTCATCGACTCATTTGCTATCTTTTCTCAATCGCCGTCGCTGCGCATGGCATTACGTATATTGTAAGCCTTCGGCATAACACTCATCATCTTTTCCACCCACTGATGCAATCCAGGTTTATGCTACAGATGGTAGCAGCGAAGGAGACCTAGCCAAAGAAGAGGCTTTGGCAACAGGAAATCCAACAATGACCTTATCAAAGAGCAAAAAACGAAGCTCCTGGTTTGTGCAGACCACATACACTGGAATCGCCGCCTTCCTGCCGATCTTAGCTGTTCTCGTCACTTCATTCCTATACATTCGTCGTCAAAATTACAACTTATTTTACTATGTTCATGTCATTTGCGGCATCATAGTTTTTGTTGCTTCCTGTATCCATGCCAGTACCGACTTCTATCTTCTTCTCCCTGGCTTGTTGTTATGGATAGGGGATTGGTTGAGGAGAGTATTCATTGGGGAAACCAATGGATTGAGTACAAAGACTGTCGCCGAACTCGAGAATGCAGGCGGTGGCTGGACCAGAATTTCGCTTCCTGGTAAAGGTTCTGCAGAACAGATGACGGAGAAACCCGTACCGACCTGCGAGCCCTTACTGTATTACTAACTCAATGCTCCAGCGGTCAGCAGGTTCCAAATTCATGCTTTCACGGCTGCCGTTTCGGCTTCCGCTAGTCATGGGCCCAGCTTCCTGCTTCAACGAGTTAGCGGCAAACCTCAAAAGAGGCTGGACAAAGATTGGACTTGGAAGTTAGGGGCTTTGGTACCCAATGTCCAAGACAGCCGAGATCTGGAAGTCCGACTCGAGGGACCTTATCGCATCAACGATGTCGGCTACATCAATGCATCCCACATAGTGTGCGTTGTTGGCGGGACAGGTGTTACGGAGCTCTAAGTCTAGCACGTTGGTGGCTGGACGCCGGGTCTGTAAATGGTCGGTTCACCTTGATTTGGACTTCGCGTACCAGAGAGCCATTCGAGATCAAGGAGTGGACAGAGCTCACGGATATAGCAACTACCAATAGCAGTCTCAAAATCAGGTCACATATAAGCTCTGAAAATGGGCGCTTAGACACTGCGTTGATACTTAGGGAAGCTTTTAGAGTGCACAACGTCATGGCTACCGACACTCGCGGAGAGGGGTGGGTCTATAGTGCAGGACCCGATGCCTTGATAAAGGCTACTCAGAGATCATGTGTTGAGGTACGAAAGAATCTGATGAAGAGCAGAAAGAGTGGCGATCGAGGAACCTGGGCACTGAAGGATCTCTCTTGGTACTTCGAAGCCTAAGCTCTACGTTATGTGGAAGAGAATGTACTGAAATTAATTCATCTCCCTAGTCGACAGAAATTGCTTGCATTTGATAGCGTTGCTGCCGGTTAATGGATCTATATACTTGATTCTTGGGCCAAGCTCGGGCTGAATGACAATTTCCTCTTATACTTATAATGTTACGACCTTGCAGACACCGTCACGTGTACTCCCCATTCTCCTCCAATCACGAACGGTCTCACCTAGCGCGATCAGTACTGATCCCACGACAACCTCGCTGATCACCAAATATCTGCCAGACATACATACACGCTCATTTGGTGTAAATAGAACCTAGCTCACCAGCTGTCAGCAAAACCTCTTTACATCAATAAGCCTCACACGCGTTACTTGATCGTCAAGAGACGTAACAATCCACGACCGCTCAGTATAACGCCCTACGTGTCTGCAAACATAAACCTTGTGTGGACTAGTTTCCCTGCATGAAACCCCAACCGTTACAATGATGAATTTAAGCCCTCATTTGCCAAGCCGGCTTTTTGAGCTAATGCGACAGATCTTACGGTGCAACCAGTGCGTCTGGCAGTGCTGCCTCGTCCTCTTGAGGCGCGGGCTATCATGCGTTCTCAGTCACTGCCTTGTTGTGTGAAATCAGCGATACGGGGAGCTTCGAGAGAAGGGGCCCTGCGGTTTATATAACTACTGCGATGAGAATCGTCTCAGACCCAATTCTTCTACATCCCTCCCAATCATCATACACTTTAGGACCATTCAGACCACCAAATCATGAACTTCAACGTCAACGCGAAGAAATCTCTCTAGATCGCGACCTTTATCCTTATAACACTCAAACCGTGGCTGTCATTCTTGTTTTGATGTGATTTTCATGTTACGCCACTGTATGTGTCGAAGCATCTTTCCTTTTTGAGACATGTCTGCATGCCATTATGTAGTATGGCTTCCTATCACTTACCCTCTGCCTTCTTTCTCTCCATGCATACATTCCTGCCGTTCATTCACTTGCTAGTCTTCAGCTACTGGCTACTACCCAATATCCAAGACAGCCGAGATCTGGAAGTCCGACTCGATCACATCAACGGTAGAGGGAAGGAGGGTGGCGAGTGCGTCTCGGGTCGCGGCCGCCTAATAGCGAGGGCATGTCTTTCCAAAGAACGCGCTATTCTTGGACAAGTCGACAAATTTGATGATGTCATTTTCTAAGGCGAGGTTGACCGCTGCATTCGGTCAGGGTGCAATCCTCATCCGATGACGCGGCGGTATCTTTCTGCAGTAGAAGATGTGATCTGGTGCTTTGCGTCGACCACATGAGTAGACCAGGCGTGTGTCGTTATGGTCGAATATCTCGTGATATGTGGCGAAGTCCCCGTGAAGTGATCTCGCTGCCAGTAGATGGTGCAAAGCTGCTCGCGGGAGCCATAGCTCCGGCGGGCAGCCTGTGGTCGCCTTGAGGTTGAGTCTCTTGTACTGCTCAGGAGCGGAGGCTGACCACCACACCTCGAATGTTTCTTTCGAATTTCTGTCTCGCGAATCTTCGTGGGTAAGCCAGCGTCGGTTGAGCGCCTTCAGGCTCAGGGAGCGATGATGCCGCTTTTGCCAATTTGTCGGCCTGTTCGTTGCCAGGGCTTTCGGTATGTCCTGGCACCCAGCGTACGAGTATAGACCCTTGCAATGTCGCCAGAGCCTGGAACTCAGGAAAGAGGTCTTGAGAGGAGTCGGATCGTGTGCCTTGAAGGCACGTGGCGGCTGCCAGATTATCTAGGCAGATAAAGATGGTTTGTTTTGCTGATTCTCGCAGGTTTAGCGCGGCCTTGAGGCCTTCTAACGCGCCTCTAGCTTCAGCATCGAAGACCTCAGCAGGTCCAAGGCGACCCGATCCGTCAAAGATAGGCAAGTTGTCCTGGTGAATGGTGAAGCCGTAGCTTGCAACCCCTTTCTCGGACAGAGAGCCGTCCGAGTAGACGACCAAGGTGAGCGAGTCGAGCGACTTGACCCAGGAGAGGAAAGCCCCGACCGCCCTCTCCTTCGACGCTGTCTGTAGCGGTGGTATCTATTCTTGTTGGGAGCGTTTCTGGATGAGCCTGGGACGCGCGAACTGCCCGAGAAGCTCGTCTGTGCGTCGGAGACGGGTTCTAAAGCCACTTTCTGCCTCTTGACACCTTTGCTTGATGAGGTCGTGGTAGGTAGGTTGGCGCGGTGGCAACGTTCGCCAGGCAAGAGGATGGGCGTCGTCAAGTGATTTAAGCCGTGCGGAGAATCTCCATCGCCGTTTTCCCAGCAGTTGATCGACTGGTGTTATCCCACTCTCCCGGTGGAGGATGTTGATGGCCGTCGTTTTCCAGACGGGCAGTATAGCTCTCATCGACTGGTGTAAGGCCTTGTTCATTCTCTGTATGAGATGTTGATTGCTCGATGGTGTGTATCTGATAGGCTTGCTCCATCGCGGTCTGGTGGTGCCCGGGTACCAGGCTTCAGATCCATGCAGTAGTACCGGCTCGACGCAAGCCATGACGGCACTTCGCACGGCGCTCGGAAGAGGGCAGTGTATCGTGTTGGCGAGGCCCCTTAGGTGATAGGCGACGGCGTGCGCCTTGGCCGCCCACTTTTCGACATGAACGCGGAACGATAGTCTGCTGTCAAGCCAGATGCCGAGCCAGCGTAGAGCCGACTCGGGGAATTTCTCTGTGTCGCCGTAGCATATAGACGGCGCGACCCTGAGGTTGCTGCGGGAGAAGTGCATGACTTTGGTCTTTTTCGGGTCGAACGAGACGCCGTTTGCTACACCCATCGAACCATCTCATCGATGGAGCTGGAGGCCATGGCAATGGTTTCATCTATTGTGTCGCCTATAGAAAGGATAGCCGTGTCGTCTGCGTAGCCGAAGCGGCCCTGGGGGTTGCCTAGTCGATAGATTGGCTCATTATAGAGCAAAAAGAGGATAGACGACACTGGTGAGCCTTGAGGCAGGCCACAATGAAGAGGAGCAAAGGTAGTGAGGGTATCCTGATATCTCACGCGGGCTGAACGATCCTGCATAAAAGACTCGACCCATCTAGCTAGATGGCCCGGCCATCCTCGCTCACGGAGACGCAAGACCAGTCTGTTGCGCATGACGGTGTCAAAGGCACCTTGGATGTCCATCGTGACGAGCGTGGCCACCCTGTTGCGTGCGAACGCTTCTTCGATATCACGGATCAGGGCGGCCACCAAGTCTGTTGCCGACCTTTTGGGGAGCGCTCCAGCCTGTTGTGAGTGGAGGAGGCTGCAGTGAACAGCTGCCCACGCCAGGCGGCGTACGATCAGTCGCTCCAGTCCCTTGCCAAGGCAAGAGAGCAGAGAGATCGTTCGCCAAGTCCGTGGCTCGGTGAGATCGCGTCGTCCAGGTTTGGCGATCATGACCACTTCTGCCTCCTTGAACGGTTTGGGTTGATGGCCCGTGGAGAGGCATCTTTCAAACAAACGGCGGATGCACGTCCCAAGGATGTGCCACGCGGCTTTGAGAAGGTTGACGGTGATGCTGTTTATGTTTACCCCTGCAGATGTATTGCCTGTATGGATGGTCGCGTACTGCGCCTCATCCAGAGAGACTTCAGTGGAGAACAGGATCGATCTGGGAGGAGAGACGGGTGTCCAGGGGTCTACAATGTCGTCATATAAAGTTCGGCGCTCTAGTGTAGCCCGTCGAAGTGCATTTGTCTTGCCCATCTACGTTTCGCATACGATTTTGTCAACCTGTAGGGGTGGCGGTTGAAAGGGCCCTGGGGACTTCAGCCACCGGACGGCCTTGAAAACGGCACCACTGCTGGAGAAACTATCGATAAGATTTCGCCAGTACTGCCTTTTCGCTCAACGGACCACGCGATAAAGGCATCTCCTAGCCATCTGGACATCTTGGTTGAAGCCACGAGGATAGATTCTCCTTATCGCCCGCAATGTCGCCGAGTCCGCGTGAGGGACCTCTGAGGCTCCGAACTCTACAATCTCGACGAATCGTTTGACTTCGTCCTCCGTTGTCACCCTGATCCTGCCCGGTTGAAGCGGAGCTGGCCTGGCGTCGGGGAGAGTTAGGCTGAGTGTGAAGTGGTCAGAGCTAGTGGCGAGATGGTATTCGACGGTAGCCTCGGTGAGAGGCATGTTGGTAAGTGCAAGGTCGATTGTGTTACCGTGCGGGTTTGTCGGGATATCGAGAGTGTTGAGGAGGAAGAGATCATTCTCCGACACCCATCCTGCAATCTCTTGACCGCGTTTTGTAGCTGGGCCTGTCTGCCAATTACCATGTCTAGCATTAAAATCGCCAGCAACGAGGCATCGTTCTGGGACAGGTCATGGGAGTAGTGTGTTCAGGGCGTCCCTCTCATCGTTCTGGTGATAGAAGTTGACGATCGTCATGCCGTTAACCGTGAGCCAGAGAATATCACGGGTCTGAAAAGGTCGGATCTGGTCAGCCAGGAGTCTAAGTTCGAGCCTTCAGGACATTCAGGACACTCAGGACAGCGCTTCCCAGAGTGGTCTGTTTCGATATGGGCGATGAGGCTACTTTTTGCCACTGGTGTTGGGCAGAATGGGCATTCATGGTAACCTCGGTGCTGTCATATCGTGGAGGTTGGCGTGGTTTCCTGACAAATTTGACATTCATGGCGTTGATGAGACTCCTCAAGGCGATGCAGGCGAACTTCCAAGTCAATCGGCTTTCGGAAATGTTGACAGAGCATTTGTTCATGCTCCACGACATGGGACCCTAAAGAGTCCTGTTTCATAACCATAAAGCACTCTTTACAGTCGACAAATTCCAAATCAATATTTGGCGTTACGAAAGGATTTTCCTTATTGCTAGAGTAGAATGTCGAGGCCAACGGTAGAATTCTCTAATGACAGCATTCAGGTCTCCGCCAGCTAGCTTCTGTTCAAGATATTCCTTTGCATCCACGATATGACGGACCTCGGGAAATCGACTTCGATTTTCAATAGAACAGTGATCTGGGTGACGCAATAACGCTTTCCGATAAGCGGAGTGTATCTGCTTTTCGCTGACAGTACTTGACGCCGACATGCTAATACCTAGTGCGTGAAAAGGGTTAAATATTATATCGTTTTCCATAATTAATAAATCATGAAGGTAAAAGACAATAAGTCGAACTGTTTGAGGTGGCGGAATTGAGGTGGCGAGACTTGAATATATGCTGCACGTGCAAAGTGGAGTTGATTTGCGGATTGACAAATAATGAGTTCCGTCTTCCCCGGTCACTGACAGCCCGTTAGGTAATCTGTTTCCCCCTATGGTTTAGGGTATTCTGACTTGAATTGTACTCGATGAGAGACACTAAAGAACTTGAAGAGCTTCACTGCATTTTTAACCACGCCCGAGGGAATCCGGAAATTTTGTTGTCGTTGGTTCGATAAAAAGTGTGTGTGGAGGCTGGTCAGCTTGCCATGATGGCGGATCCAATAGGGGCCGAGATCGTGGTGGAGCAGGATGACRCCCCTTTTTCGACGCCAAAGAGACCAAGTCGGGTGAGACCAACGAGCAAAGTCCGAGACACCGCGCGACAACTGGAGGACACTGCGAAAGAAACGCGAAAGACAACCCGTCAGACGACGCGAAACATATCGACCGAAGAACAAATCGATCGACCGACCGAGACCCGGAAGAGTAGCGGCAGCAGCAGCGATGGAAGGGTTATGCTACAGAAGGCGCTGGATCTCCTGGCGGAGTCGCGCAGGGAGACTAAAAGATTGCAGGAAACACTGAGAGAACAGATGGAAATGACCAGGGAACTGCAGGAAACTGTTGCAAAGCAGGGAGAGATGATGGACGAGATGGGCAAGCAGATGGCCGAGATGAAAGAACAGATGACCGAAGAACTACAGCGGGTCCGCGAACAGCTCGAAACTATTGCGACGAG